CCGACGAATTTGCTACCCCCCCCCCCCCCCCCGCGTTATCCGGCCGGTGAGACCGGGGCCTATGTTGATAGACTGATGCTACCTTATTATTCTTCCCATAAATATGTCACATAGGAAACAGAGAAGACGGAACAGGTTGTGCGCACTGGAGACCACCTACCAGCAATAATGAATTTCAGGGAAGAAATTATGAGCCATATAGTTCCAGGACAATTTGATGATGCAGAATCTTCTGACAGGTAATACAAAATCAGCTGTCAAGATGATTTTGGGGGAATATCTAAATACAAAGCAGTGCTCTTCCTCCATTACCTCCCCCCCATCCTCCCTTCCGTATTTTTTATTTTGTGAACTTTAATTAGCTTTCTGGGCAGGCTCTTTTGGAAAGCGGAGAGAATTAGAAAATCCTAGTGCAGTGTTTACATAAAAAAGCAATTATCTTTGTCCCAGTTTCCTTCCCTTCTTCTTGTTCTGATAATGTCATGGATTGATCTGGCTTTGCCAAAAGTCAATTGTGGCAAGTATATTTATGTATAGGCTCATTTATCTGCGCACATTCTCAAATACTTGGTAATTAAACATTCTTAATTCTTCCTGGATTTCTTGTACGCCCTTTTTGGGGAGGAGGAGAGTGCCTCTGGCCCAATAGATTGGTTAAAAATATTATAAACAGCCTTGTTGCAACTCATTTAGAGAAAAAACAGGGGTTTCTTGATGCCCACCAAGTGTTTTTAGAAAGTGGGTGGAGCCAGATGGGGCTTTTACCCAGCAGGGCTTCTGATTGGCCATTGGAGATCTAATTGACAGTGCAGATGTTTGAAAAGTTGCTTTGGCAGCTGCTGCCATTCCAGCAGAAGGATCTTAATATGCTGATTTAAAAAGGCATCGTCTTAAGCAGAGCTTTTGCCTGAAATGTCGAGGAGTCACTATTAGAGTTATGCAGTCTCACTCCATGACATTTCGTGGTTGTGCCCACCACCCTGTGTCAGAATTCCAAGGGTGCCCACAGGCTCAAGAAAGCTGGGGACCCCTGCAATAGAAGACCGTCAGTGATCTGATGCTTCTTTGTCAATGCAGGACAGATTAAGTATTGAGAGAGCAGAACGTAGTATGTTGCTGACTCGCAAGGTGCATTGCTTGGTGAGCTAATTCAGACCTTCTTATATGTGTTCTTTTTATTTTTTAAAAAAGTGAGCAGTCCCAGACTGAAGTCATCCAGAAAGAGAAAGAAATAATTAAAATGCAGCCGTCGCGTTTGTACGTGGAAGCATACGTGGACGAATTTGACGACAGTGGTGAAGACGATGAAGATGATTGGGACTGGGACGATATGATGGGGAAAGTCACAAAGGGAAACCTCATTCATGGAGGGAGAAACACACAGGTACAGTGTGGAACTGATGGCTTGGATCTTAAGTGTTTTGCTCAGTCTCTGGTCATCAGTTTAAATCCTAGCTTCATCAGTGGATATCTTGGTTTGGGTCTTAAAAATGATTTGACGGGAGTCATCTGTTGTGCAGTGGGAGAGCATGTAATTGAATAAAGGATCCAGGGGCGCTTTTTTTTTTTTTGTAACAGCTGCAAAGTACTGTGACAATTTAACTGCTTTACTACAGCATGAGCTTTCATAGCAATATTTCGTATTTATTACTTCAGCAGATATCTGTATATTGTATGTATGCTTAAAGGTAAAGGTTCCCTTGCTCAAAAGCCAGTCGAATCCGACTCTAGGGTTGCGGTGCTCATCTCCGTTTCAAAGCCGAAGAGCCAGCGCTGTCCGAAGATGTTTCCGTGGTCATGTGGCCGGCATGACTAAACACCAAGGCGCACGGAATGCTGTTACCTTCCCACTGAAGTGGTACCTATTTATCTACTTGCAATTTCTTGCTTTCGAACTGCTAGGTTGGCAGGAGCTGGAACTAGAGACGAGCGCTCACTCCGTCATGCGGCACCCGGGTCTTGAACTGCTGAACTACCAACCTTCCACAGCATGCAGTTCAGCGTCTTAACCACTTCAGCCACCGCAGCTTAGTCCTCTAAAATTTAGGAGTGCCACTTAATTTCTGCTACCTTTCTAATGAGAGCTAGTTTGGTGTAGTGGTTAAGAGCATGGCCTCTAATCTGGGAGAACCGGGTGTGATTCTCCACTCCTCCCCATACAGCTGCTGATGTGACCTTGGGTCAGTCACAAGTTCTCTCAAGAGCTCTCTCAGCCCCACCTACCTCACAAGGTGTCTGTTGTGGGGAGGAGAAGGGAAATGAGATTATAAGGGACTCTAAGACTCCAAGTGACAGGTGGGGTATAAATCCAATCTCCTCCTCCTTCTGCTCAGTCGGCCTTTTGCAGTCACTTATTGAATCCGGTCAAGGAGTCTGTTGCTTCTTTGAACTAGGCTGGGTGGTAATGTTTCCTGAGTATGACTGAAGGACCTCGCATGGGCACTCTCCCTTTGCCCTTCTGCAGATCCTCTCCACTTATTGAATCATGATTGATGCTTACCTAGGTGTACGTAAGCTTTAACTAGGGTCAGTGCTAGCCATGGCTTTTAAGCTTGGGGTGGGTGGGGTGGATTTGAACCAGAGAAAGGAAAGAATGGGGAACTGGAAGCATGCGTTTGAGACTGTTTAACCGTGGGTAAAGCACTGGAAGCATGATGTTGTGCCAGAACTAATATGTGCTTTGGGTGGAAGTTGAGTGATATCCCAAAAATTGTTTCAGGCAAACAGACAGACGCCCAGTTGCAATGCATCCAAAATGTCCACTCCTACAGACAAGGCGCTGAGAAAATTTGACAATAAAATTAATTTAGGTAAGTCGAATCCTGTTCATCTTCTTTTGCAAATGATGCAGCTGAATAGAATTCAGTAAGGACCCCGTGCATTTTTAATGCGTAGAATTGGGTTTGTGCGTTGAATTGTTCTGGGAGGTGTACGACATGTGTTCTGATAATGGTGTTCCATATTTTTGAAGAATTATTGGAAATTAGTTGAAGCAGGGCAGACTGAGTTACTGTTTGGGTGTGTGCTGAAAAAGTATTGGCTTCAAAATAATGGCAGTGTGAATGATCTTTGAACTGAGTCTACTCAGTTTGTTCATCTCCATTGAAAAGATGTTTTTGTGTTACTTTTTTCGCCTCTTACAATACATTTGCAATCAGATACAATTTTTGCAAGGACACACAACTGAAATCATCCTGTTTTTACTGACACAAGAGGACTACGTTCCTAACTTAAACACTTATCACACATGCAGATACTTTTTTTCAGTTATGTACTCACTATTTTCTCCATAAACCGTTCTTAGTTAATCTCCTTTATCTCTTTGGCCCCCATGACATACTATTTTGTCTCTCTCTCCACCGATGCAGGTCTCTTTGAACTCCCCTCTCTGTTAGTTCTCCATCCTGTTTTCTTTTCTCTATACCGGGGTGGCCAAACTTGCTTAACGTAAGAGCCACATAGAATAAACGTCACATGTCTGAGAGCCACAAGACATGAACAAATATGACCCATACGTTTTTACCGGAAAATATGCAACTTTGATTTTTATTAACATTAAATGAGACTACCAAAAACAAAAACAAAAGGGGTAAAAACAGATATCAGTAATGATATTTAACTTTAGACAGGGAGGGAGGGGAGAACGAGAGAGAGAAAGAAAGAAAGTGGAAAGAAAGTCAATAGATGAGGGCAAGAGAGAGGTGGAAAGAAAGCAACTTTAACCCCCACGCTGCCATGCTGGCTGGCTTGGCTTGGCGAAGGCATTTAAAGTTAAAGTTGCTTTCTTTCTCTGCTCTCCCCCCCCCCAAAAAAAATCTCAAGCCTACCCAGGGAGGGGAACACCGGCAGGGGAAGGGAAGAACAACTGGGGAGGCATGCTTCCCTTTCGCTTCCCCTGCCGCCCTGCTGGGAGCCACACAATATGTGTGAAAAAGCTGCTTGTGGCTCCTGAGCTGCAGTTTGGCCACCCCTGCTCTGTACCAAACCATGTTCAGCCTGCATCTCACAATACTTCTCTGTTCTTTCTGCGCTCCTCTTTTCTGCACTCCATTGCCTTCCCTTTTCTGTTTCCCCAGCCACAGATCTCTGCATAGCCCTATTTCTCAGCTGCCCCGTTGTTTTCTCTCTACATCGCACAGAACTCAAAGTGCTTTCTGTGCTTCCTTTTGCTCATCTCTTCCCCCTCTCTGGTTCTTCTGCAACCTCTCTCTTGTTAACCCCCCCTTTTCATCTTGTAGTCTTTTTTCCTTCCTCTGTTTCTGTCCCGCCTGCATCCCTTAACTGCTCCTCAGTGTGTTTAGCAGCAGCAGAACATGAAGCTTTCACACTCCCAGCGATTCAGAGCGAGGAGTCTTGGGTACAGGTGGATCATGCAGGGTGACGGACTGCAGCAGGTTAGAAAGCTGGAGTTAATTGATTCTGCTTTGTGCCTCTGAATCCAGGGGAAGGAGGAGCAGCAATGCAAAAACGGATCTGGCGGCTATTCTCCCAAACCCACATCCACTGTTTGGTGGGCTTGATGGGGCCTTTGATATTAGGGCGCAAACAGTGGGGTATTTGGGATTGATCTGGGGAGACTACAAGTAAAGCTGTCAACTGTTGAACTGGCCCCTTTTGTCTATTATTGTTTGTATTTAGAAAACACATATGCTACCTCATCAGAGACCTGCTGGATACGACTCACAAAATAAAAACGATGCAAAAAAAAAGAGAGAACAATATAAGAATGATCATCAGTAAAACAAGCCATAAAAACTAGCAGTCCTTTAACAGTCGTTTGTAGCAGTTAACAGGTGATAACTGTTAAAAGTTTCCCCAGCTTGCCGATGCATAGGTGACCTCTGTTAAACGTACTGGAACAAGTCATGTGGATTTGGGGGGTGGGGGGCGGTATTCTGGCCAGTTGGCAACCCTGGCCACATATACATCAGGGACTGGCTTGCAAGCATGCATTTTGCAGACAGGTAGAAGCATAGAGTGGGAAGGGGTCCTACAGGCCACCTAGTCCAACCCCCTGCTCAATGCAGGATCAGCCTAACGCATCCATAACAAGTGTTCATCCAGCCACTGCTTGAAGACTGCCAGTGAAGGGGAGCTCACCAGCCAATTCCACTGCTGAACTACTTACTGTAAAAAAAAAACAAAAAACAACCCTCCCTAATTTCCTAATATCCAGCTGGTATCTTTCTGCCTGTAAGTTAAACCCATTATTGCGAGTCCTGTCTTCTGCTGCTAATAGGAGCAGCTCCCTCCCCTCCTCTAAGTGACAGCCTTTCAGATACTTAAAGAGAGCTGTCATGTCCCCCCTCATCCTCCTCTCCTCCAGACTGGTACTAAGGAGATCAAAGACCTCCCCTTTTCTGTATACAAGTATATAAATGTTAGAAGAGAATTGGGTGGGGGCTAGTAAGCCTTTGCCTAGTTTTCCATGGTATTCAAATGTCAAAGCATTTATGTGGCAAGTAAACAAATTTAACAGCAACCAAAGAGGAACACATAGTGTAGGTATACAAGGGAATAGTGGTCTGTGTGATGCTAAAGAATCTGAATGTAGTATAAACGTGTATTAGAGTTCCAGATTGGTAGCCCTTTTAGCCCATATCAGCAAAATAAAGCAGAAGCCCCAGTGTCACTTTGAAGACTAATGCAGTTTATTCCAGTGTAAGCTTTCATGAGTCAGATCTCTCTTCATCAGTTCACTTATATGAGGCAGACTGATTTTTATTTATTTGTTTATCGCCATCAAGTTGCACCTGATTTGTGAGGACCTCATAGGGTTTTCAAGACAAGAGAGTAACAGCGACGCCTGCTTCCACGTCATGGTGCTGGTATTCCTCAGTGGTCTCCCGTCTAAATACTGTCCAGGGCTGACCCTGATTAGCTTCTGAACTCTAATGAGATCAGGTTAGCCTGGGCTGTCCAGTTCAGGCTGATTTTTTTTTTCCAGATGCCTTTCCCCCCCATGGACTTGTATCTATTAAAGGACAGTTTGCGTGTTTTCAGACTGCATTGTTTGAAGCTGGTCTTAAACTGGGGCATGAGGCTGGGGGGAATGTCTTGACTATCAGTTCCTTTTATGTTTGTTTTTCTTTAGACAAGCTATATTTTGCGGATTCTGTTATAAACAAAGTTACAGAGAAATCAAGGCAAAGAGAAGCGGAGATGTAAGTGATATTACTTTTTGTAAAGGTTTTTCCCCCCAGAACTTCTGAGAATTGATTGGCCTTACCAAAGTCTGCAGTGTTCCTCTTGAAATTTGAATATATTATTTTTAAAATATTAAATATAGTTATGTTATGTTTTTAGACAATTGGAACCCTTGTATGATGTATTGGTATATTTAGAGGAAAGGTAGAAGACTTTGCTTCTCGGTAAGCAGATTTTAAAACCAGTAGTCATGTTCCAGAGGAGCCCTCTGTGACGTTTTCTGTGAGTTTCCAAACTTTGTCTACCCACCCTGATGAACACTGCTGCATTTTATTGCACCTTGAATTGGGAGCCACTGTAGATGGAACGACTGGATTGATACGGTCCCTGTGACCCATTCCAGTCTGCATTCGGGGTGCAGCATTCTGTACCAACTGTAACTTCCAGACAGTCTTCAAGGCCAACCCCATGTCAAGTGCATTGCAGCAATCTATTCCAGATGTGAACAGGGGCACGCACCACAGTGTCAAGATCTTTCCTGCCCAGGAACAGTCACAGCTGGCTAACCAGTCAAAGCTGATGAAAGGCACCCCAAATGGCACCTGTTTAGAGGAGAGGATGTCTCAGCCCCTCCCTGGACAAGTCTTCAGTTTCATTTTTCTTAGGTTTGTATGATCTTCCCTGTCTTCACAGAAGACTTCTTTCCTGAAGAACCAAGATGGAAAAGTTCTTGAAAGAACAAAGCACAACTTATATGAATAGGGATATTACTGAAGTCTGTGTTAATCATAATGTTCAGATTTATTGTTCTAAATGTGGTCTTCTACCCAAACTGCATGCATGTTACTGACAGTATCAACCCTTCCCTATTAAGTCCTGATATATTTATATTTCAGTACTACCCTAATTAGTCTGTCGCATCCTGCTTCCCCTAGGTACCGGGTGAAAGATAAGTCGGACAGAGCAACTGTAGAACAAGTGAGTCTTGCAGGTTATTAAAAATCATTGTCATAGTCCTCGTCCTTAAAAAGGAGATTTACAGCATGAGACTAACAATGTGATCCTAACCATATTAAACTGCTGCAATTTACTTCTGAGATCAGCAAGATTTATTCCCTAGGAAGTGTGTTGAGGGTTAGAACCTTAATACGAAACACTACACAGTACACCATTTAGTTAGCTTAATTTTTATGTGTTATACCCCACCTTCCTCTTCCCTGGGAACCCAGAGCAGCTCACTTAGTGAGCAGCTCACTGAGAGCCAGTTTGGTGTACTGGTTAAGGGCGCAGACTCTAATCTGGGAGAACCGGGTTTGATTCCCCGCTCCTCCACATGCAGCTGCTGGTGTGACCTTGGATCAGTTACAAGTTCTCTCAGAGCTCTCTCACCCCCACCTACTTATAGGGTGTCTATTGTGGGGAAGGGAAGGGAAAGGAGATTGTAAGCCGCTCTGAGACTTCAAGTGAAGGGTGGGGTATAAATCCAATCTCTTCTTCTTCTTCTCCCATTTCATCCTCGTAACAGTCCTCCTGTGAGGAAGGCTAGGAGTCTGTGACTGGCCCAAGGTCACTCAGCAGTCTTCCATGGCAGAGGGGGGAGTCAACTGGCTTCCCCCAGACTCTAGTCTGACACTGTAACCACCAGGCTGCACTCTAATCTAGATTAGAGGCCTTTGTGATGGAGAGAAAGCAGCATCCACCTGTGAAGGTGTTTGTGCCTGCAGACAAAATGGGGGAAGGGAAGGGAGGAGGCAGGGATTGTGCTTGGGCAGAAGCACTGGACTCAGGCAACACCCCAGCAGCCCTGCCAGTGTCTCAGGAGCTCTCTCCTTGGACTCCGTTGGTGGGTATGCTTGTCCAGGAGGCACTGACCATGCCTGTCCCCTTCTCCCGTGCCACCAAATCCTTCACTCGCACCTGTTAGATGACCTTGGGCAAGCCGTAGTTCTGATAAGAGCTGTTCTTGAAAAAGAGCAGTTTCTGTCAGAGCTCTCTCAGCCCCACCTACCTCACAGGGTGTCTTTTGTGGGGAGGGGAAGGGAAAGGAGTTTGTAAGCCGCTCTGAGACTCCCTTGGGTAGTGAAGGGTGGGGTATAAATCCAATCTCTTCTTCTAGAAACTTTCCACACTGTGGCTCTGACAGCAGGAACTCTGGCTTATAAAAGCTTGTTCTATGATTGCTGTGTTAGGCTTTACTCTTATATGGAGGGCTGGTCAGACTACAGTGAAGCCCTGCATAAACTAAGCCCCAGGACTGAGAGGTACATTAGAATTGTCTGCTGGCAGGCAGAGTGCTACCTAAAGTTAATGGTTTGGAGAGGACTTGATGAATGAATTTGTATTGATTTTTCCAACAAAACCGGTTCCGCTTGTAGCCCTTCCCATTGGGTTTTGAGCTTGGAAGTGATTTATCCTATTTCCAGAAACTCCTTATAACGTAATTTTTGCCCTTCCCCCCTCCTCAAGGTATTGGACCCCAGAACCCGAATGATTCTGTTCAAGATGCTAACAAGAGGTGTGATATCAGAGATCAACGGCTGCATCAGCACAGGGAAGGAGGTCAGTGTCGCCGTCAGTAGGACTGCAGCGTGGAGTCTGTCTAACAAGATGCTGTGAATTCAATTCAGGGTGCTGTGTTTAACCCTGAAAGCCCCTTGCAGCCCGGGACCCGCATGTCTGAAAGACCGTTTCACCTGTGTCAGCCCACTTGCCAGTTAAGATCTGCTCATGAAACCTTATTGGTGGTGCCAGCACTTTGGTGGAGGGTGGGGGGAGAATCTGTGGCAGACAGAAAGGGGGCCCTCTCAATGCTGGCCTTACCTAAAATCATAGAGTTGGAAGGCACCTCCAGGGTCATCTATTCCAACCCCCTGCACAATGCAGGAGATTCACATACCCATCCCCCACACCCCCAGTGACCCCTGCTCTATACCCAGAAGAGAGGCCCCCCCCCAAAAAAAAAAGACTATCCAGGATCCCCAGCCAAACTGGCCTGGAGAAAAATGGCTTCCTGACCCCAAAATGGCGATTAGCCTTTCCCTGGGCATGTAAGAAAGGGCCACAAGAACTAAGCACTGACGCAACCCTTCCTGCCCTCCCTCTTCATGATCTGCCCAAGTTCACAGAATCAGCAGTGCTGTCACATGGCCTCTGGGAGTCGTTCTTCTGAAGGGCTCCGGCAAGCTTCCTCTCTTGAATTTCGATAAGCGATATAGAAGACCTTCTTTTTCCATCCGGCATCCATCATGTAGCTAAATAGAAAACCTGCCAGTGGCAAGTGCTGTCCTAAAAGAAGCAGTTCCTCCTGTGGGAGAGGATGTAGATTGCTTCTTAAAATATTGTGCTTCCTGTCCCATATACATGCATCATTTAAAAACTAATTGTGTTATTTCTCTTCAAAATTATAACCATTACACATACACAAATCTATGTAGATTGAATTGGTTGGTCAGGATTCAAACAGTCAACAAGAGGTTTTGTGTATTGGTCAGCATCTCTTAATGTAAATGCTAAATTGGTCTTCTCTGGGACTGGAATGCTTCAGAAACTCTGTGCACAGTTTATGGTATAACCAGAGTTGTTGGTACTTTGTGCTTCAGAAGAAGGGGGGGGGAATCAAAAATGGAATTTTATTATGCAGCTAAACAATTATATGCAGTCTTCAAGTATTTGAAGGGCTGTCATATAGAAGATGGAGCAGATCTATTCTGTCTTGCTCCGGATTGCAAGACTAGATCTAATGGGTGGAAATTACAAGGGAGTCGATACCGGCTAAATATCAGGAGAAACTTCCTAACTATCAGAGTGGTTGAGCAGTGGAACAGACTGCCTCGGGAGGTGGTGGATGCTCCTTTGCTGGATGTTTTCAAGCGGAGGCTGGACGACCATCTTTCAGGTATGTTGTAGGGCTATCATTCGGATATGCTCCTGCAGAGTTCATGGAGTTGGACTAGATTACCTGCAAGGTACCTTCCAACTCTAACATTCTATGATATGATTATATGTGTTCTGTTTATTTTGTACAGTCTATTCTGCTTGTCCTGGGACATGCAGCAGAATTATGGGGAAGGACCATGGCTCAGTGGCAGATTATCTACTTGGTGTACAGAAGGTCTGAGGTTCAATCCTTGGCAGCTCCAGTTAAGGATTCGGTCACAGGTTATGTGAAAGATGCTGGAGAGATATGCTGCCAGTCTCAGTAGACAATGCTGCCTTTCATGGGCCCAGTGGTCTGATCAATACAAGGCAGCTCCCTGTGTATAGCTAGCCCTCACTTCCTAACTGCTGGTGTTCCTATTTGGCCCACCGTCTGGCTTTGGAGATCTCGCAGGCATTACCCTGCCTGCCTAAACATCTGTGTTAGGCATTTTTGGTACTAGCTTCTTTTTTTTTTAAGGTACTTTTCTTTAGTCTTATAAAAGCTTCTCTGCCTCCTCCCAAGGTGAAGTTTCTTCCTTGCTAAAGGCTCCAGTGTAAGTGGCTATTTACAGACTGGATATATTTTGTACGTTTTATGAATTGCTGATATTCCTCTCCAGAAGTATTTGAACTGTGGTGTTGGAGGAGAGTTTTATGAGTACCGTGGACTACCAGAAGGTCAAATAAGTGTGTTCTGGACCAAATCAAGGCTGAACTCTCCCTAGAAGCTGAAATAACAAAACTGAGGCTATCGTATTTTTGTCACGTTTTGAGAAGACAAAGACTCACTGGAAAAGACAATGATGCTAGGAAAAGTTGAAGGCAGTAAGATCCAACATGAGATGGATTGATTCCATCAAAGAAGCCAGGGCCCTCAGTTTGCAAGACCTGAGAATGGCTGTTAACGATTAGAACATTTTGGAGGATATTAATTCATAGGGTCGCCATGTGACTTGACGGCACTTAAAACACAGTAGGATTATCTTTTTTCCCCCTTTTTTTTTGTCTGCAAAAATAATTCACCTTACTAAGTTATTATCAAGCCTGATTGTATGTCAGGGTGCACATAATTTTAATATTGTTCTTACCCAAATTCATAAAAGCTGGAAAGGGATCCTGTGTTGAACCGCAGAGAGAAGGTGTTAACCATCTGACTTTCTGTAGTTCTCAACCCCATTTGTCCAGTCATTAGAAACACTCAGGTAGCTACAATTATGCTGTCTTCAGGACTCTGTTTTTTTTGTCTTTCTTCCTGCCCCTGCTTGTGCACTGAAAGAATTACCTGGACTTGTATACTGTGGTGGTGATGCCACCATCTGTCAACCTGTTCAGTGCAGTAAGGAAACCGTGCTATACTAAGGGGCAAGTTCTGTGCCTAAATCTGGATTGGAATCCTGTTCCACATACACCAGTTTAGGACACTCAGACGAAGGGCTTACCAGCACGTGGCAGCAGTGAGGACAGAACTATTAAAGTTATTCTCCCCCTGCCTTCTGCTTGTGGCTTAAATGCTTGGGAAGGGATTTCCTGCCAAAAACATTAACAAAATGGCTGAGCATGGGTGACCTCTGGAAGTAAGCATTCACAACTGATGACATGCCAAGCCAGGCAGCCCATCAGCCATGTTTTGTGGCATAATTGACATTTGGCTACCTGTTGGTTTTTGCAGGTAAGGCAGATGGTGAAACCAAGATGGTTTACTTGGTGGTCTGCCGTGGGTAGCTGACAGTAGGCATCTGCTTCACTCTGTTTCACATTCTGCCAGTCAGCTCTGTGTAGCAGAGCCTCGCTGGATCCTGTGGTTTCAGAAACTCTTTTCTCGCCCTTTCTCTTATACAAAAGTACTCTTGTCGTTGCATTGATCTTCCTTTGTTCTTTCTTGCAATTTACTAGGCTAACGTGTATCATGCCAGCACAGCAAATGGAGAGAACAGGGCAATAAAGATATATAAAACTTCAATTCTGATGTTTAAAGACCGGGATAAATACGTGAGTGGAGAATTCAGGTGAGATGGAGGATGCTTTTTCCTATTTTGAATCTAGGGTTGTGCACTTCCTCATTCAGTCTTCTTTGAATTTTACCTCAAAAACAAAAGTCCATGCTGGGTTTTAATAATTCCATGCTATCACCTTGTGTTTTTCTAGGTTTCGCCGTGGATACTGTAAAGGAAATCCTAGAAAAATGGTCAAGACGTGGGCAGAAAAAGAAATGAGGAATTTAACAAGGTACCCCCTTCTTTTCTTTTTTTTGCCACAGACTTTGTTCCCGCACTCCATTTTGTAGTAAACACTTGGTCACTTCTTTCTGGAACTTTGTATCTTCAAACTGCAGTGTCTGAAGAGACCAAGTGTTCATTGTCTAAACTGTTACCAATATCATGGAGGAAAAAAATGTCCTGCCCCTTAAACAGAGGCTTAATGGGATGTTATTTACCAGGTGATGCTGTTCACTTCTGTGCCATGAAAAGTTTCATCTACCCATTTCTTATATGTTAAACCTCTGCTAAAAGGACGAGACATTGTTTTCTCCAGGTTGTGAGCAAATCGTATTGCAAATCCCCAAGCCAGGATCCTGTATTTTGTGAATTCCCTGCAGAACCAGTTTGGTGCAGTGGTTAAGAGTGGTGGACTGTAATCTGGGAGAACTGAGTTTGATTCCCCCACTCTTCCACATGAAGCCAGCTGGGTGACCTTGGGTCAGTCACAGCTCTCTCACCTACCTCACAGGTTGTCTCTCCCACAGCCCCACCTACCTCACAGGGTGTCTGTTGTGGCGAGAGGAAGGGAAGGAGATCGTAAGCTGCTCTGAGACTTCTTTGGGTAGTGAAGGGCGGGGTATAAAACCGACTCTTCTTCTTTAGTTGTGATAGACAACTGGCGTATGTACCGTTCTGGTTGCCCTATCTCAAAAAGGGCATCGCAGAGCAGGAAAAAGTACAGAAGAGGATTAGCTGGTTGGAGCCCCTTCTCTATGAGGAAAGGCTGAGGAGTCTGGGACTTTTCAGTTTAGAGAAGAGATGACTAAGGGGAGGACATGATAGAGGTTTATACAATTATGCACGGGGTAGAGAGAGTTGACAAAGAGAACTTTCTCTCTCTCTCTCCCAAAATACCAGCACTCCAGGTCATCCCATGAAGCCGATGGGCAGTAGGTTCAGGATGGACAAAAGGAAATACTGCTTTATTTGTGTCTTTAGAAAAAAAGAATTTTTAAAAAGGAAATACTGCTTTACACAGCAAGTGATTAAAATATGGAATTTGCTGCCAGAGGATGTAGTGATGGCCACAGGAATAGACACTTTTAAAAGGGGATTAGATTAATGGAGGATAGATCTATCAGTGGCTATTAGCCATGATGACTGAGGGGGAACCTCCATGGTCAGAGGTACTAAACCTCTAAATCTCAGTGCCAGGAGGCAGGCCCGTAGCGATGGTGGGGCTTTTGGGGGCTCTGCCCTCTTTCTTAAAGGCACAGCCCCACAATTTAAAAGCATTTTTAAAGGTGTGTGCTCCTTTAAGCAGAGTGGGGTGCTGTAGCTGATTAATTCCCGAACTGAGCAAGGGGGTTGGAGTGGGTCACCTGTAGGAGCTCTTCTAACGCTGTGTCAAGAGACTGGGCTCATTTAAGAGAGGTTTTTCTGCCTGTTAGCTTTCTTGACTATAGAAGTCATCACCCCCACCTACCAGCTTGTTATCAGAATTGTTGCTTAGGCTGGCAGAAGTGATTAACTTGCAGCAGCTGAGAACTGTCATCTAAAGTGGTCAACAGCTTGCAGTCTAGAGATCTATCCTGCTAACAGCTTTCTATTGGCTAAATGGCTTTTCTTTCTGCACTGAGAACTTCAGCCCCATCAGAAAAAAAAATTGCCCTGCAAGCCACAAAATCCTGGCTACTGGCCTGCTAGGAAGAAGAAGAGATTGGATGTATACCCCGCCCTTCACTACCCAAGGGAGTGTCAGAGCGGCTTACAAACTCCTTTCCCTTCCCCTCCCCACAACAGACACCCTGTGAGGTGGGTGGTCTGGATCGCTACGCAGCCACATCGCTCCCCGCCGTCCACAAGTGTGGCAGCCATCTGTAGAACTAAAATTTTCGCACGTGCGCAGAACAGCTATTTCCTTTTCAACCTGATTGCTGTAACACTTCCCTTTAAACGTTTACTCTGAAAATGGCCTCCGTGAGATCCCAAACTCATCTGCTAAAACTAGGCACCGTTTAAACATTGTTTTTAATAACGCGGTGGTGGACCTCCGCCTATGTGTACACTGCCAATGCTTTAAAAAAAATGGCGGGCGAAAAGTGGAAGTCTCAGGCAGCTTTTGAGTGGGGAGGGAGTTTAAACCGGAAGTGGCTGGACACTGGAGGAGCGATCAGACGTCAGAAAAATGCGGCTGGAACCAGAGAATCAGGAAAACACCACTTGGGGACCTGGTATCAAAATACTCCGGGTTAAAGTGGTTTTGAGCCGGAAAGCAACAGCTGGGGACGGGAGACAGATGTTGACCGTGTGATCGCACAGATAAAATCCGTTTCTGAGGCGGGCCGAAAGCGGACTAAATGGCCCGTCTGACCGCACCCTGTGTTTTGTTTCACCGTTTGTATATAGAGCCTTAAAGTAAATTTCTTGCTGAGATTTTAAAGGGTACCAGTTCTTCTCCTGTGATGGAGAAACTTAAGTTTCTTTCTTTCCAATTCAGATCAGTTTCCTTCTTTCCAATTCAGATTGGTATGTTTTGTATTGAGTGGCACAATTTATCTTGGCAGCCAGGAAAATACAGGACAGAGCAGTGTCTAAATGCTGAACTATTTTAACTGTTATCTAGCAAAGGTGCTCACCTGTTTTGGACATTATTCTGTTCTTATTTTGCCACAGCTGTTGATGTCCCTTTGTGTGTCCTGATTGTAGTGGCCTTTGGCTTTATACAATAAATGTTAGGCTGTGCGTTAAACCCTTATTCCTATTGTCAAATGTAAGTTAGTTAAAACATAAGTGGTGATTTATCGAATTCACATTTCATGCTTCTTCAGAAAAGAGGGGGGGAGTGGTTGGCTGCCCCATCCAAGTGTATTCTTCAGTCCCAGGACAGGGGGTACTCTAGCCTGGCAGTTTTTACCTCAGGCAGTTATGGCAAATTGAAGAGAAGCTGGAAGAAAACAAGTGAAAGAACTGGATTCCTCACACTTCTTCCTCACCGTAGATAGTTCTGGTCTAACTAATCTGATTGTCAACAGTTGCTTGGCAGTCGAAGGCACCCAGTCCCTCCTACATACGATCTCTAGTTGTAACAGTTTCAAGAGAAGGAGGTTCCTCTTCTGTCAGGTATTTTTTGAGGAATTAAAAACCTCTTGTGTTCACTTTGAGATTATGCACTGGAGTTTTATAGCGCTTAACCTAAGTAAATATTGTCATACGAAAGACATTCCTTAAGAAGAAGGAAGGGGGTGGGGGGAAGCCTACAAACAGACGTTTTGTTATTTCTAAGACAGTTTTGCCAATTCTGTTTTAACGTGTAACTTTTTTCTTGGCATTATCTTGTTGGATAACAGCCGTTTCTGGCTTTTTCTTTCAGGTTACATGTTGCACAAATTCCATGCCCCGAACCCATCATGCTGAGAAGTCATGTTCTTGTTATGGGCTTTATTGGAAAAAATGACACGTAAGTATCCTCGGAGACTGTGTGCGCATGTATATTTTTAACAGGGGTCGTTTCGTAGAAAAAGAGCTAGGGGAACTCATTAGCATAACTCATTAGCATATGCCACACCCCCTGACATCACTGGAAGTGTGTCATAAGGCCACACACCCCGCCCCCAATGGTCCCGGCCGCTGCCGCCGGCCTTGCAACTCCACTGCCGAGCCCCATGAGGGGCCTGGCGGTGGACCTGCAAGGCCCGCGGGAGTGCAAGGAAGCCCCGCGAAGGCCCTCCCTGGCCTCAGGCAGGCAGGGGTGGGGAGAGGCAGGGAGGAAGCAACTTACCCTCCGTCTTCTCCTGCCTCCTCCTGGCTGAATGAGGGCCGGAAGCAGGGCGGCTGGAAGCAGGGGGCGGGGCTTCGTCATGTGCCCCGGCCCCCCATACCTCACCCGGGGAAACTGCGATCCCCGCGATCCCCCCCGAAATGACCTCTGATTTTTAAAGATCTATCTTAAAAAAGGAGAGAAGCCTGTGGGGGAGCAATGATGAGGGTGTTGCGTTTCAAAGGATGAGACCTGGGTTCCAAATCCTCACTTGAGAGAACTTGGTCCCGTCACCATCTCTCAGCTTAACCTTCCTCAGGAGACTGTTCTATACAGTGGAAGGGAGAAGAACTTGGTAGTCTTTCTTGAGGTCTTCATTCAGAAGAGTGCTCTCTTGGTTTTTACACAGTGTGTGATTTAGCAGTGCTCTTGGGTGCCTCAGATGGTGGAAAGAAAAAAAAGGTGTTCCTCATGTGGCAGTACCTAGTTAAATGTAAATAGGACTCCATTAGAGAAGCACGAAGCTCTGACCCCTTTCTAATTTAAAAATTTTAAAGATACCTGGTAGGGACCTGCTGGAATGATTTACTTCTTTCCGGTGTGTCAGTTGACTGTATGGGTTGGAATCACGATGCTCATGATGCTCAGTCATGTTACGAGAGGTTTTATTTATTATTTATTAAGTTCAACTTGCTAGGCCGCCCTTCCCTGCAGGCAGGGCTCAGGGCAGTTTACATCAAAATAAAAACAATAAATAATCCATGACATAAGATTAAAAACGACTAAAAACAATACGTTTCTCGAGCAATACGATTTCATTGTCTAACATGATGAGAAATTTCTGTTCCCACCCGTCCCCTGGATGAAGGGTGTGCGGAGGGCTGAGTAGGGGGGTTTGAGAGTGCCAACGGTCACTGTCCTCATCCAAAGGCCTGGCAGAACCCTACGAAAAGGTAGTAAATCCCATAGGGCCTGGATATTTTCTGGCAGAAAGCCCTGGCCCTAGTTGTGGACAGCCAGACCTTTTTCGGGCCAGGGACCTCAAGCAGATTCTTATTGCTGGAGCATGATGCTCTTCCAGGGACATATTGAGAGAGGTGGTCCCGAAGGTGTGTAGGTCCCTGACCACTAAGAAGTATGCTGAACTTCTTTCTCTTTCCTTAATTGTAATTGTAATTACAATTGTAATTTGGGGACAAAGGGTTGCGATAGGGGATCAGCGGTCCTGGAGGCACCCCCTGGAGTGTGGGGTGCCACAGGGGGCCGTGTTGTCCCCAATGTTGTTTAACATCTACATGCGCCCCCTTGCCCAGATTGCTCGGAGGTGTGGGCTGGGTTGTCACCAGTATGCTGATGACACCCAGCTCTATCTGATGTTGGGCGGCCGGTCGGGCTCTTCTCCTGATGACCTACATCGGGCGCTACAGGCTGTGGCTGGTTGGCTCAGGCTGAGCCGGTTGAAACTAAACCCGGAAAAGACGGAGGTCCTGGGCCTGGGTCGGACCGGCGTGGGATTGGGGCTCCCTCTCCTGACCTTCGATGGGGCGCCTTTGGTGCCATCGTCGGAGGTTCGGAGTTTGGGGGTGCGCCTGGACTCTTCATTAACAATGGAGGCCCAGGTTGCAACCACTGCCAGGGCGGCCTTCTACCATCTTCGACTGGCTCGGCAGTTGGTCCCCTATCTCAGCCCTGAGGACCTGGCCACAGTGATCCATGCGACGGTTACCTCAAGGCTAGACTACTGTAACGCTCTTTACATGGGGCTGCCTTTGTCGCGAATTCGGAGGCTGCAGCTAGTGCAGAATGCTGCAGCCAGGCTGTTGATGGGTCTCTCGAGGAGGGACCACATTCAGCCTGTGCTGAAAGCGCTGCACTGGATGCCGATAGCATACCGGATTCGATTCAAAGTGCTGGTTCTGACCTTTAAAGCCCTAAATGGCCAGGGTTCAGCCTACCTGAGGGACCGCCTTTCTCCATATGTTCCTGGATCTCCTGGAGATTCCAGGCCCGAAAGAAGCTAAACTTGCTGTGACTAGGGCTGGGGCGTTCTCGGTGGCGGCTCCTACCTGGTGGAGGGAGCTCCCGGAGGAGATCTGGGCCCTGCGGGACCTTTCTCAGTTCCGCAGGGCCTGCAAGACGGAGCTCTTCCGCCAGGCCTTTGGA